TCTTCTCTTTCTCTCTCTCATCTCTCTCTCTCCATGAATGATTCACTTCTTTTTCTTCTCATGAATATGTTGGAATATGTTGATTTTCTATACTTTAACATGAAGTTTATACTTTTCTTATGAAAATTGTGGATATTTATTAAGGAAATATGATTATGGAACCTACGGAACTACCCTAGGATACATGTTTTTACTTAAAAAATCCATTGCCTAGGCAACTAAGCGACTAGGCACCCCCTCTGTCGCCTAGCCTAACCTTGGTGCCTTGAAAACTATGGAAACATGGATAGCCCATTTTAGCTGTATTTCAGCTAAAAAATGGCTTTCCCATGATGTTTCTTTTAGTGGCTTCTCCAAAGGAGCTCAACGTAAGTGACAACCAAAGCTTCATCCCTCCCAAACTGGCCCAAGAGAGGGAGGGAGTGTGTTCCCTTGGTGACTCATTTGCCTGCAGGGCTGAAACTTTGTTTCATTCCGCATAAGGCAAGTGATTAGAGAGTGACAGAGAGATTGAGAGAGTTTCTTTGGTGACTCGATAGAGAATGACCCCCAATATTTTTTTTTGTTCATGTATTCTGACAAATTCTGTTTGATTTAGGTTATTATTTTTTTTGATATGTTGTTTTGTTATTTAAGACATAAAATTAAGTTTTATTTCTAAATAACCCACTTTATGGATCTTACATCATTTGAAATGGTTTTTTGTTTTCTTTCCCTGTTTAGTGGAGGTAACTATCTCTAACCTTTTGAGAGAGGAGGTAACTACCATTAGAAGCTTTTGAGTGGGTAGACATGTCTAGGGAAGGAAGCTTTTGTTTGAAGGTGGGAGTAACCACTTTTAGTGATGGCTGCCAACTTGATGCAACTCTCCTCATTTATCTATGCTTGGGGCTGGCAGTGTACAACAAGCTCACATTTGAGAATTTGAAAATTTTCAGCCATTTCCCGATTTGTGATTTGTTAAAAACCGAAGGGGTTAGAACAGTTAGGGGGGCAGAGCGAAAACGACTTGGGTAGAAGCAGTAAGAAATGATTGAAGTGCCCATAATTTAACAATGGATATGACACTGAACAAAAAAAAGGATTCAAATAGTCGATTCCATATGTCTAAGACAAGGCTTAGATGATGATGATGACGTGTTCTTCCCTCATTTACTGTGAGAACCATGAAAAATATCAGGGTTATTAATGTTTTGAATTTTTAGTATTGCTGATTGTTGGTTTTATCAGTCACAATATTTTGAATATCAGGGTTAATAATGACGTGTTCTTCCCTCATTTACTGTGAGAACCATGAAAAATATCAGGGTTAACAATGTTTTGAATTTTTAGTATTGCTGAATAATTGTTGGTTTTATCAGTCACAATAGATTCTAACCAAAAGGAAAATAACTACGAAGTTGAGACTTGATCTTCGTTTGAACTGTGATAGGACAACCTTGGAATTTTGCTCTCTAGAAACTGATATTCCCCAAGAGCTAATGTGTTCCATCAGGATACGATGGTGCTGGTGACTTGATTGTAACAAGGATTGAGATTTGTCATGTCATTCGTTTCTTTCTGTTTTTTTTTTTTTATCACATTTCTTTCCTTTTAAGCCCTTATTTCTTTTATTTGTGATAATTTTCAGTTTCTTTTCCTCAACAATACTTTATTTCGATGCTTTGACAGATTAAACGGGTTCAATGATGGGGGACCTCGGACACCCCCTCCACGGCTTGCCATATTGAGGAAGAGGAATCCCAAAAAAGTGAGGTCTAATCTGCAGCGAAAGATACTGGTTGCTAGTGATCTAAGTGACATTTTAAGGTGTTCTAGTGAGATTGATTATTTGTGGTGGAGAAACCGGAAGCCTCTGAGAAGAACAGCGAGAAAACGTGCCAGGCTTGATAGCCTTTCCTCATTTTTGCATATCTAACATTAAATAGAAAACACAAATTATAATTTCATTCAATTTATTCATTTTTTTCTTATCTTTTCACCTCAATTATCTGTTGCCAGCCCAATATGCAATGATGAGTAAAATAGTAAAATTTTCACCATGCTTCCTTTTTCTCTTTTTACGTGCTTAATTGCATTTGAACATATATGTCAACATCGACCAATGTTTTTAAAAAATGATCCAGTAAAAACCACTTTTTACCTCTGGGTGGCACTGGCAGGTCAGTTGTTCAACCATCCTGATTAAAGTGGTCAACGTGTGGTTATAAATCAAGTAATAGTTATATCAAATAGATACAATGAAGAAAAATACAAAAAAGATATGGAAGTTTTTGTAAAAACATTGTGCAGTTGGTACCCTTACACCCCTCCCCCACCCCCAACCGTGGTGTTAACAGGATAAGATCCCAGGTCTCGGCTACAACTAGTCAGAGAACTGAGAACCTACTAACTTAGTCACCACCAGATGGTTGCTTCAGTTGGTAGTTGGTTGGTACCCTTGCATTTATGGTGTTTGTCATTGGGCTATCTGCCAAACACGCAGCTTGTGAATCAAGACTCATTTTGTTTGGTGAATAAGTACGTCTGTCTGAAGATTATATGCCATAATTAATCTCAAGTTCTTCATATACTAGCTAATAGATGCATCTTAAAAATTATTTGTACAAATTAAATTGATTTTATGAACAGTATATTTTAATTTCCATAAATAACATGTTATGTGTTGCAAACTAAATTATTAATTAATAGGAAATTGTCAAAAACTCACCATGAGTTTTCAGCATTTCTCTTAAACTCACAACTTTTCAAAATGTCTAAAATTCACCATGTCATTAACTTGACGTTAAAGAGACTAGCGGCTGTTAATATATTACCAATTTAACCTTTATAGAAAAATATAAAATATATACATATATTTTAATATTTAGACATGAAAAAAAAAGGAAAAAGTTCAAAAAATATTTTCAAATATAAAATATATAAAAACATAGAAATTACAAAAAATATAAAAAAATATTTTCAAATTATAGAAACTATAGAAATTGAAAAAAAATCAGAAAATAAAAGTTGTAGAAAAAAACACAAAAATTATACAAAAACACAGAAATTGCAAATAAATAACAAAAAATACAGGAAATTTTATAGATGGTAGAAAATAGAAAAATGTAAAAAAACAGAAATTATAAAAAATAGTAGAAATTATAACAAAACACTAAAATGTAAAAAAAAAATTAAAAAATGAAAAAAACCCTTTTCCTCTAACTCGTTATTCAATGGTGATTTGGTCATAAAAATTGTTATTTATGTCGACATAGACACCTCTGTTAAGAAATATTAACAGTGCACTAACGGAATGTGAGTTTTGAAAAATAATTAACATGGTGAGTTTTAGACGTTTTGAAAAGTTGTGATGAGTTTTAAGAGAAATGGTGAAAACTCACATTTCTTATATAATATTACTTAAAATATATCAACTCCATGAGAATATTTATTTGTTAAATTATCAAAATTAAAAAGTCATTACTTTTAAATAAATTGTTTAATTCATGTTGATCAAAACAAGTTGGATACGGTTATTGGCATATGTGGAAGTGGAATGAATGGGCACCAATCCCATTCCAATCATGTGGAATGAATATATGTTGGCTCCATGGGGTTACACAGGAGGTTGCCCATCCACCAACCTATAACCCCCCATCCTCCCCAAACCCTAAAGTGGGCAAGATTTGATCCCAAGCCTCCGCTACAACTAGCAGGAGGCCTTACCAATCAGCTAATTGACACCTTGTTGATTGTGTTGATATTTTTAAACCTTGTCTATTGGTTCAAACGATCATAGAGATAATATAGAAATATGAGAAATACATCCATAGATATATAAGAGATTTTTGGATATGGTAATCCCTGAACTTTGTGAAAATGTAAATTTCAATCCAAAAGAATAAAAAGGGTCATTTTCGACTTCAGACTTTGATAAAAAGGCTATCTGTAGGCAAAAGCAGACGACATTTGAAATGGTGTTAATAGATCCGTTAGGTAACATTATGTAGCACTGCTAAAGTTTGAAAAAGGGCCACTTTGATAAAGTTAAATAAGTAAATTATTTTAGGATCCTATTAAATGACTAAAGTATTGAATATGCATAATTAAGTTAATTTAAGTAAATTAAAAATTTACACCAATTAAGATAATTTGGTAAATTAAGCAATTAAATAAGTAAATTAAATCAATTAAGGAATCAAGATTAATTAATTAAATTTAAACAAAGCTAATTGATTTAAATATGTGAATTAAGAAAATTAAGCATGGTTTTAAAGACCCACCCAAAATGGAACGACTTTGGTTTTCTGTTTCTAGGTTAACGGTTCGATTGTTTGGTCCGAATGTATCAATCCATGACATTTTGAAAAATAAAAAATAAAATTAATTAAAATAAAAAATGACTAGCAAACTATTTGTTGGATTGAACATTTTAGCAGTTCAATCGTTTGGGTCAGCAACTTGTTGACCACGTTAAAAATTTTGAGCAGTCAAACTATTTGACCCAATAATTGGTCAATTGTCTAGTTCCATTTTATACCCATGCGGTTGAACCATTTGACCCAAGAACTGGTCAATTGCCCAATTCCATTTTATGCTTGGCCTGGAATTTAAAAAAAAAATATTGACTAGGTTAGTAAATTGTTGTCTCAAATGGTTGAACTACTAAATTGTTTGATCCAATAAATGGTTTTCGAGTCATTTTTTTTATTTTAATTTTTAAAATGTCACGGGTTGATCCATTCAAACCAGATGACCAAACTGTTGACCTAGAAACTAGAGGCCAAAGTGGTTCATTTTGGGTTGGTTTTTAAATTACCTTGCTTAATTGGCTTAATTTACTTATTTAGATTGATTAGCTATGTTTATTTAATTTAATTAATTAACTTTGTTTTCTTTAATTAATTTCATTTACTGATTTAATTGCTTAATTTATTTAATTAGCTCAATTATTATAATTTATTTTATTTAATTAATTAACTTAATTAAATGAATTAAATACTTTAGGGTCATTTAATTAGAGCCTAAAGGAATTTACTTAATTAACTTTATTAAAGTGCCCCATTTTCAAACTTTTCACAAAGGAACCAATCATTTTGCCCCATGCCATTCATAAAAGTGCATGTGCATATGGCCCATAACTATTCAATTTGACCAAAATTTATCATCATTTAAATCTCATGGACCCTAAACCAAAGTTCATTTGAGACAGTTCAGTTCAGTTCAGTCCACACCATATTATGAACTGATCGGTGTTAGACAGCACCAAAATAAATTTATTGATAAAAATTGGGAGAGTTGTTGGGTTGTGCATATAACCCAGAGGTGATTTGTTTATTGTTGGGTTGTGCATCAAGAATATTTCTAGAATTTTTTGAGGACAAAATTTATTCTTCTATATTTAAATTTATTGATAAAAAAATAAGGGCAATAGGGTAATCAAATATTGAATTGAAAAGAGGTAATTTTAAGATATTCAATGCATTCAATTCACTCTCATTAAATCCAACATTTAAGTTATGAATAAGTTGATAATCCCAATAACATAAAAGCTTCTACTTTTAAAATCTACCTAGAAAAAATAGTGTTTTCATCTAGGTGGTGGTAGGAAATTAAACCATTTTGGGTCAAATGGTTCAATCCATGTTGCCACCATTAAATAATAAAATGAAAAAATAGATATTAAAAAAATTGGAAACATTTTTTAACATACATATTAAACAATAATAAGTATGATAAATAAGAAATGTTTTTATTAATGATGGAAATGGAATATAAAATTTAAAAAAATTGGAAATAAAAATATTTTCCTATTCTCTCTCATTAAATCCTATATTTAAGATATATTGTTTTCATCATTAAATTCTTGTACTTAAATCCATAATATTAATTTTCATAGTATAAATATAAATATTTTGAAAAGTAATTTGAAAAAAAAAATATTTTCTTACCTCCTAGTGGTGGGCATGCAATTTGACCATTTAGAGTGAAATGGATTAATGAATAATTCTATAATTAAATAATAAAAATTTAAAATAAATATGAAATTTAAGAATTATTTTTCTTAATGATAACAATGGAATGCTAAGTTTAAAACCTACATAGAAATGAAATGATGTCATAGTCAAATAATAAAATTTTTAAAAATAGAAAATAAAATGAAAAAAGAGATAATTTTAAGACATTCAATGCATTCAATTCCTTCTCATTAAATGCAATACTTAAGGTATTAACTTGCATTCACCTTCATTGAATCATAAATTTGAGGCATTTTTGTTCATTCTTATTATTAAATTCTATTAATTAAATCCATACACAATAAATTAATAATTTCAATAAAAAACTTGTACTTTTAAAATCTATTCGAAAAAATAGTGTTTTCATCTAGGTGGTAGTAAGAAATTAAACCATTTGGGGTCAAATGGGCTAATCCATATTGCCACAATTCAATAATAAAATTCAAAAATAGATAAAATGCAAAAAAAATATAGAAATAAAAAATGAGAACATTTTTAACATCATATATTTGACATATTAAACAATAATAAGTATGAAAAATAATACTTTTTTATTAATGATGTAAATAGAATGTAAAATTTAAAATTAATTGAAAATAAAACTATTTTCATATCCTCTCTCACTAAATCCTATATTTAAGATATATTCTTCTCATCATTAAATTCTACTAATTAAATATACAACATTAATTTTCATATTATAAAAATAAATATTTAGAAAATTAAGTTGAAAACAAAACCATTTTCTTCCCTCCTAGTGGTGGGTAAGCAATTCATCCATTTGGGGTGAAAGGGGTTAATAAATAATGTCAAAATTAATTAATAAAAATTAAAATAAATAAAATATATAATATAGAAAATAAAAAAAAAAGAGTTGGACATATCTCTAATATTGTATATTTATTATACTAAACAAAAATAAGTATGGAATTTAAGAAATATTTTTATTAATGATAAAAATTGAATGTCAAAATTAAAAACAACCTAGAAATGAAATGATGTCATAGTCAAATAATAAAATTTAAAAAACAGAAAATACAAAG